GGGCGGATGGTGGGAGCGTCTAATCCGCACAACCAAGAATTTGATTGTGAGAGTCTTAGGACAAGCTGCAGTCAATTACGAAGAGTTACTCACCGTCATCTGTGATGTGGAAGCCGTAATAAACTGTCGACCACTAACTTATGTGTCAAATGACTCTGAGGATCTTCTACCATTAACGCCTTCCATGTTCTTACAGGACATTAAGGTTTCAGGTACAGCAGATTTGGATGCTTTAGATCGAAATAAACTCTTGGCTCGTCAGCGTTTCTGCCAGGAACTTCGAGAACAATTTCGTAGCCGTTTCCGCAAGGAGTACCTTGGACAGTTAGTACAAAAGCATGGACAGAAGGACTGTGAATTAAAAGTTGGAGACATCGTGCTAATAGGTTGTGAGAACCTTAAAAGAGTGAACTGGCCAATTGCTCGTGTCCAAGAACTTTGTACAAGCAGAGATGGACGTGTAAGAGTTGTAAAAGTGAAAACTAGAAATGGCATACTGATTCGTCCTGTACGTAAACTGTACCCTCTAGAAGTGTGTTCCTGTACTAAGGATACCATTATTTTATTTTTGATTTTGCTTCTGAAAATCAAAAAGGTGGGAGTGTTGTGAAACTGATTAGTTGTATCTAACAAATATTAAAAACAAATCTCTTCATTTTGATGTACGAGACACAGATGGCGTTGGCTGTCATTGAAGTAGGAAGAAAAAAAGGTTTTTCCCTTTCGACCTCGTGACGTGAACTGATTAAGATTTGTAATAACTTTCGGGGCCAGAAAAATATCCTGACAATTGTTAAAAAATGTATATATTTTGTAGTGTAGAGAGAATATAATTAGATAAATCAACTTCTTAGAGTTTTTATTCAGATTCAACATCACACTACCCAGGTAAGTGAGCAAGTTTTGTCTTTAGTTTTTCTGGGTTGCTCGGTATCTGGGATGAGTGAAGGAAGTATTTTTATTTTAATGATATTTAATGATAAGACTATGTTTTAGTAATAACAAAAATACCTTGTTATTGAAAAAGCAATAATTTAAGCATAAATTTTTGAGAACAATAATTTGGCTCCGTAGCTGCATATAAAAAATTTTGACGAGAAAAACATTCAACAAAAATGTCTTTTCATATGCTTAAAATAGATTTTGTTAATGAAACAGGCCAAAAGATTACATTTAGTGTTATTTGAATTAAGAATAACTGATATGTTATTCACATAAACCCAGAACAGCTGTCAGTGCTCCTATGGCCACACCAGGTGGCAGAATTTAAAGAAGGCAAAACTTTTGGAATTTGGAGAAGCACCGAGCAAATTAAGGATGAAAAAAATTTTACAATTTAGAGAAAGCACTGGGATGCAAAGTTTAGGGGTGGTGAAAATTTAGAACTTAGGCAGGCGCTTTGTAGCAGAATTTAGGACCGGCAGAGACTGCATCAGGCGGTATCTAGCGCTGGCCCTATCTAAACCTTAAGTATATGTGGGAGTTTATTTATTCAGGACTCAGATTAGCCTTAAGCATGTATAAGAAATAGACATAGGTATAATAAATAACTAAACTAATACAGTTCAGGCTTAATTCAGTACACTATAGAAACAAAACAAAATTTAGCAGAACAACTTCTCTTTCATCTCCAATCTTATGATACATAGCCAATAGCGTATAGCAGACGCTATTAAGCTAGCCTAAAATTATCTTTACTGATTTTAAAGAATTTCAGTTAATGTAGCAGACTGCATTGCTCCTTAATCTTCTAATTTGATCCAGCTTATTATTTTTTGCAGACAGTTTTATGAAAATTAAAGCCTGAATTTTTAGTAAGATGTATTTTTACAGCAATTTTATGAAAATTAAATCCTGAATTTTTAGTTATGTCAAAAAGAGTTTCTAATTCTGGAGCTCCAAAAGGATCATCAAAGCAAAAGCATGTTTTGATGTCTATTAACCCCTTAACTGCCGCGGGCGTATATATACGCCTTGCTCAGCCGATGCGTTAACTGCCCCAGGCGTATATATATACGTCCTTCCAAACTGCTATCATTTGCTTTGTGCTGCTACTCGTAAAATTATTCGCAAAGCTTTGGAATGCAACGCCACAATGGCCTTGACAAAATATGCAAAGGAAAATACTATTTCAGAGAAGTGTGGGGAGAAATTGGAGAGAGGGGTGTGTCTAAAGCGGTGAAAGTAATGACTGTGCGGTATTGGCTAGTGTTGTTTGAGTAAAACGTATTTTTTTTTTTTTTTCTTTCTGTGTCCTCCATTTTCGTTTACTTTTTGTAGTAGGTTCCAGGAATAAAGAAAGATATAATGGATGTTTCAAACCCATTTATCTTTTTTGAATTATTTTTTGATGAACTGCTCGTGCTTCATATTGTTACTGAAACTAACCGTTTTGTAGACGAGTATATGAACCAACACCTTGCAAACAAAAAATCAAGAACAAAATCGTGGCATTCAACCAGTTCAGAAGAAATATGTTTTTTTAGGCATACTTGAATTGATCGAAACTCCATTTAGGGACTTTTTTATTATAAAACCCTCATTTTTATTACTTTTAATACTTACTATCCTTTTTATTATACTTTTACTCAAAACATTAAATTTTGTGCATTCATTTTTTCTTTTATTCTATTATTTTGTGCAAGTAAACCGTTTTTAGAAGAGTAAAACTTGCACTTATTTTGCCCCTAATACAACGCATAACTGCGCGCGCCTGTGTGAAAAACCGTGGCACTGGGAAATGAATCTTGTACGTTTTTCGCGGCAGTTAAGGGGTGTAAACAAAAAGTGGAATTGCTGCATAAAATGGAAAAAGGCATATCCGTCTCAAACTTGTGCGAGGAGTATGGCACTGGTAAGTCAACTATATATGACATAAGAAAAAAGAAAAAGGGAACTTCTTGAATTTTTTGTGGGTTCTGACACCCAACTCACAATGAATAACAGAAAAATGGTTCATTATGCCAAAAGTGACGATCATGACAAAGTTATGATTGAATGGGTCAAACAGCGTCACAGCGAGAGCGTGCCGTTGATGGGTCCAATGCTAATGACTCAAGCCAAAATATTTCATGAAGAAATTAGCTAGTAAAAACTGAGTGCACATGTTCGACAAGTAGGTTAACAAAATTTAAAAACTGCCATGGTATAAAGCAATTAAAAATTTCAGGTGAAAAAGCTTCAGCTGATACTGAAACTGCTGAACTATTTGCAGATAAATTCAGTAACTCCTTACTTGTGAAAATTTATCCCTGGAACAAATCTACAATGCTGATAAAACTGGTAATCCATGTTAAATTTCTTGAATAATGGCAAGAATATTCAAGAATTTTTAGCATACAAATATTTTAGCATACAGTCTGCTGTGTGGAGCATCACAAGATCGTGGGAAAATGTATCTCCAGATGCTTTAAAAAATACTTGGCATAATTAGCCAGCTACCATATTTCATGGTGAGGATGAAGAAGATGATAGTCGCGAATTTGAAAGTTTTCGGATATCGCAAACCAAAGGCGAAATTTTCCAATTAATGGATTTTGTAAGGAAATGTGGAAAGGCGGTAATAAATGAAGATGATATAACAGATTTTCATTGCGATGACAATGCTCCAATCATCAGTCAGTTAACAGATAGCGAAATCTGTAGTATGGTTCTAGATCCAGAAAATACCGCTATCGATAGTGAAGAAAGTAGCAGAGAGGTTATTGAAAACGAAAAAATTTCAATTGACAAGTTAGTCAAAATTCTGGGCACGGCAATTGCAGGAGTTGAACAGTGGAACTTTGTAACTGAACAAGAAATTATGTCTGTTTATAGAATTAAAGAGAAAGTATTAGCACAAAAAACGAAGCAACTTAAATAACTTACATTGAAAGAAATGTTTAATAAAGTAAACAAATAAATATTGAGCTTTTTTTTGTAACCCTTTATATCATATTTATTTTTTGATACCCTTTATATCACAAATGCTGTTTATTTCATAAAATCGATTTTATATTTTTAATTGTATAATTTCTGCATGCCATCTTACTAGATTTAAATTGGTGATCTAATATCAGGAAAAATCCCAAATCTGGAATTGCCAAAGTCCCGACGAGTCCGGATATCGGACTTTGTACTGTAGTTTAATTTTTATTTTGGTAAAAATGGTAAGGAAAACCTTTATTTTATTGTCTATCTAATCTATCTATATGTGTAACATATAAAACCTGAAAGCAAACTATGGACTTTTATTTTGCAATATCCCCTTTAAGGTCTATTCTAAAATTAGTAACCATGCTGAACATATCTAAACTGAATCATTTCAAAATTATTTTGCATCATTCAACCTTATGTAACTCACAATGCAAATATCTTTTATCCAATCACAGATTAAGATTTAGATTTCCAGAACCAAAAACCTTTCTGTTAAACTAAACCTTCATATTGGATAACTACACAGTTTCACTGCTTCCTTCTGTATTGTCTATTATATGAAAGTGTGCTAAGTTTTCCAAATTGTGGGGTGCATATTGCAGCAATAATGATGAGTGAATTAGAATATGTATCTCAAGAATTAGTTGTCCAGCTATAAAATTATGCAAATTTATGACTACCTCTGTCTACAAGTTTTATCGTGCTTCAGACTAGAGGAGGGGGATGTATTCTACTAGTAAGTTTGGATTAAGAGTTCTCTTACAATATTTTTTCTCTCTTGAAAATTGACTGTGATAGACTATGGTTTACTGAACTTTCTGACCATCATGGTGTTTCATTAAAAAAGTTCAAATTTCCCGAAACTGTCATAAGAAAGTGGCATTTTCTTGATTTTAATGCCAAAGTTCCCATGTACTTTTATGTCTGGATTTATGCACTTTTAACATTTTGCTGTAATTTTCAAGATTCAAATATATGTACTTTCTGAAATGTGTCATAGAAACATTTTTGTATAATTATACTTTTGCTGGTAAGAAGGTTAAGTCATTTAAATTTAATGACTAACTTAATTTTTATTTGTATAGGAACAAAGTCTACCTGTGATGTATATGACTTCTATGTATGGCCAAGAATACCAGTGTATACTTCCTGAAGTTACTGAAGATGAAGTTACTGAAAAAGAAACAGACAGTGAGAAAAGTACTGATATTCAAGAGCTTTTGAAGCCTATGAAAACTGGTTCTTGTCTATTGAAAGTAAGTTAACTTGTTAAAGAATTTACTTATTCAAACATGGAAAGCTTTGATAAAGAGATAACTGTTGTGGAATATAAATTTTGATGTGTGTCTTTTGATATATTATTTTATGACATAGTTTAGCTAAGTCAATATTAAAAAAGGAAATATCAGTAAATACTATTGTTAATGTAATAGATTGTTATAATGGCTGTAACAGTATTGTTAATGAAAAGTATAAATGCAAATATTTTACTAGATACTGTAATGCTATTATTTCTGATTTCTTGTTGAAATATAGGTTTCTTATAAATAAGTAAAATTATGATAGCTGCTGCTAGTTTATCCATGAATTGGCTAATCTTTCATAAGTGGAACAAGTTGACACCAAACTCTTTTAGTTTGCAATGTCAAACCCGACATCGGCATTTCATTTCGCAATTACCAATTGCAAAAGGAACTGCAGTGTAATATCTAACATCGCCAAACGAAAATGACGCTAAATACAACACAAGCGTAAATTACTATAAACTAAAACATAAATTAAAATAAACTACAAAAAGTCCAAGTCACAAGCATTAAACTAAAAATTTTACAAAAATAAATTACTACTAAAAAATCTCTTCACTTGCATAAAAAAAATTGTCAACCGAGTAAATATATTCAAATTCACTAACAATGGATGCATCGTGAACTTCCTAAAATATTCAAGCTACTATGATCATGGAATTCAGCACACTGAACGACTTTTGTTCAACACTAAACATTCCACATCTCTCGGTTGCCACATCCAAGAAACAAAAACTAAAAAAAAAAATATAATTAACCGGCCTGAAAAATATTAACTAAATACAGGGCTCGTACGGTCCTTAAAAGTCCTTAATTTGGGCCAAAATCGGCAGAAGGTCCTTAATTTTAATCATCTGAAATTTCTGTCTGTTTTTATGACTGCCATTTTGGGTGTGAATTAGCATTTTGCAGGAAATATATTTGGCAATTCACTGACAAATATGGTTTTTCTTTTAATGGGTTCATGAATTATAATTTGTTCTTGTTTGCAATATAAATAATGGTGGGATACTCGAGTTTCTGAGCAAGAAGTGAAACATAAGCATTTCAAAATTATTTCATTTTTTGAGCTCTCAAACAACTTTCCACTTTTGGAGATGGGAATTCTTTTATTAAATGGTTCTAAATTTGGTGATTTTAAAATCGGTTCTATAGAAAATTTTTAATTTTGATATCTGGGAATTTTTTGACAATTTTTTAGAACATTCTAACATTGTTAAAGTTCATTAAAATAATGGGTACTATTCCGTTTTGAGGGCCGTAAAAAATTGCAGCGAAAATATATGCGCAAAAGCGCCAAATCTAGCAAACGCACCCATTTTAACAGCGCTCCAAATCTAACGTACGCGCTGATTTCAGATTGCGCAAGTTTAGATAGTTCTGTATTTCTTAAGACGCCATAGAAATACTAGTTTAATTTTTAAAACCTTTTTTGATATCCTATGAATTTAACAATTTGGGAACTGCCCATGACGAAAAGTCTGCAATAGAATTTTGGGTAAAGTGCAGAATCACCCACTTCTTGATGTGGTTTTAAGAATTGCACATACTCGGTATCCATGTGCATATCGACCTATTTTCACTTTAAAAAAAACTGAGAATTGCACAAAAATGGCGCTGCGCACACCCTTTACTTTATCTGTGTACACATCTACCTATTTTCACTTAAAAAGTAAAAGAAAATGGACAAAAATCCAATTGTTTTTACCCTTGTAAAAAGCGGCAAACAAATAAGTGAGCGATTCTGCACTTTACTGAGAATATTTTCAAAGAAAAGGCATCATTCATTATAAAAAATTACGTTTGAACAACCAACGAGATGAAATTATGCTTTAGCGATAAGTCAGCGAAATAGCGATGGAGGCATCCATCCATTCAGTTATGTTTAGCAATTTTTATATAAATTATAATAATGATCTGAAATAGTTATTGACTCTTATGCTTCCATTCAGTCATGTTTAGCCTTTTTCATATAAATTATAATAATAAAAATGTATTATATGAAATTAACCTTTCATCTAAATTTAAAACATCAATCTTAGATAGTTATTTACTATTATAAATATGGTTATAAATATGGTAGGGGTAATTTTCTTGTCGCAGTTATTAGGGTTGCCGTAATTATTTTTGCCAGCATTGGCATCAACAATAGTTTGGCGATTTTTTACGGCCCTCGAAACCGAACAGTACAAAATAATGGTAATATATTGGAGTTATATTAAAGAAATAACATTAAAATAAAGCATTTTTATTTTTCAGTGTCATATTATAGTTCCATTTTGGTTCTATTTTTCACTGTCAACTAAGTTCCATTTTGGGCACATATCATACAATTTTTTGAATCTGAAAAATAAGCAAGGAATAATGCTATAAAGCACAGTTTGCAAAACAGTTTTTAGCAAAAGCAAAATAGCTATGTAATTAATTAAAAATGTCTCTTTAATTTTTTCATGGTAAGAATTTTTCCCATTTCTCAGAATGATCAGAATTCTCAGAAAATGCATCAGTTTTCTGTATAAAATTAATTTCACACTTTTTTCCTCTGATTTTTTTTTTTTAAAAACATTTCTGGCTTTTTGCTGTTACAGAATTGGTAGGGGTAATTTTTATTTAGGATTTTAGACATTGAAGCTTGGAAAGTTTAAAAAGATTTTTAGGCAAATTTATAGACACACGATTCTAAAAGATTCCAGAAAAATGTGATAAAATGAAAAATGTCTCCATGTAGTGTAAGACACGTAGTTTCTTACATTTTGGAGAACATCTGGAAGAACAATGAAAACATAATAGCTGAATGTTTTACTTCTGATTCTAGAATCGCTTTCTTAACATTTTTATCTTCCCTTTATTTTCTCTACTTTTGACTAGATACAAGCATGGAAAATATCAAAAGTACTTCTAATCTTATCATATGGACAGGCTTATAGAAAGGAATTTTTTTATTAATAAAGAAATTGAAAACTGACAATTCAAAAGATTCATCTAATATGTCTTAATGCATCATACACAGAGCTGGCATTAGGCATTTTGCCACCTGACGCAGTCTCTGTGGATCCTAAATTCTGCTTCCAATGCCTGCTCTAAATTCTAAAAGTTTTGCCATTTCCAGATTTTGTTGCTGAGTGTGTCCTTAAATTCTAAAAATTATGCCACACCAGACTTTACCATATGTACAGTCAAAAGTCGTTAATCCGGACTCGTCGGGACTTCGGCGATTCCGGATTATAGATCATCGCTTTAAATCTCGTAAGATGACATGCAGAAATTCTAAAATTAAAAATATGAAACCGTAATTTATGAAATAAAGAACAATTATGATCTAAAGAGTATCAAAATTTAAAAAAAAAAAAAAAAAAAAAACTTAATATTTATTTTTTTACTTTATTAAACATTTCTTTTAATGTAAGTTGTTTAAGTTGCTTCATTTTATGTGATAATACTTTCTCTTTAATTCTATAAACAGACATAATTTCTTGTTCAGTTACAAAGTTCCGCTGTTCAAGTCCCGTAATTGCTGTGCTGAGAATACCGACTAACTTGTCATACTTGTCTAACTTGACAACTTTAAATCCCGTAAGATGGCATGCAGAAATTCTAAAATTAAAAATATGAAACCGTAATTTATGAAATAAAGAAGAATTATGATCTAAAGGGTATCAAAATTTACAAAAAAAAAAAAAAAAAAAAAAAAACTTAATATTTATTTTTTTACTTTATTAAACATTTCTTTCAATGTAAGTTGTTTAAGTTGCTTCATTTTATGTGATAATACTTTCTCTTTAATTCTATAAACAGACATAATTTCTTGTTCATTTACAAAGTTCTGCTGTTCAAGTCCCGTAATTGCTGTGCTGAGAATACCGACTAACTTGTCAATCGAAATTTTTTCGTTTTCACTAACCTTTCTGTCACCTTCTTCATGTCTTTATCCATTTTTTGCAGCAATTCCACTTTTTGTTTGACGGACATTGAAACATACTTTCGTTTTGTAGATCCTTTGGGAGCTCTAGCATCGGAACTTCTATTTGACATAATCGAAATTTCAAGTTTACTTTTATAAAATTGCTTTTACAGTCTGCAAAAAATAATAAGCCGCATCCAATTCGAAGATTAAGGAACAACGCAATCATCAACATTAACTGAAATAGATAATTAGATAATTTTAGCTTATACCGTCCATTATACATTAAACGCGCAAAAGAAAACGTATTCTGCGCTTGTGCACACGCACATGCACAGTCGTAATGGTCTTACACGCATGCGTAAACGCTTATGCGCATGTATCAACGCGGTGCATGCGCAGAAAGTTTTTAGCTTTGAGGTCCGGATTATGGATCATTCCAGATTATGGGTGTCCAAATTAACGACTTTTGACTGTATTTCACATTTCTTCTGAATGTTCGTATTACTAAAGAAATAAAATTAGCAGCTTTTTCCATACATTCTAAATGCATTTAGTCTTTTAGAATAACGGAAGTCTTTAATTAAATCTCAAAAATTTAAAGTGAAAAGGAAACATGTTGAAAAACAAAACCAAATATGTAAAGAGAAAGAAAATTATTCTTCAAAGATATGTGCAGTTATTATTATGTAAATTACCCAGTTATTTACAGTTTCAGCCTTTACTATAATTTCCCACATCTATTTCCTCACCAGAATGCAAGTCACTTAGACGGTTTTTAAACTGAGGTTTTTGGAGTGTAACCTGAGTGTGTTTCTGACCTGCACTTGCTCCCTGCATTAGTTCTGTCAGCTCTGATAATTTGTAATTATTAGTCTTTCCATTACTGCTGCTGACATTTGAGTTTATGACAATAGAGTTACTGAACCAGATTAAATTGAAATTAAATTGTATAGTCTTTGACCACTAGTCCATATTTTTAGTTTGAATTTGACTCTTCTTTTTTAATTATATCACCACATACTGTAATTGATTTTGTTAGCATAAGAACAGGCCTATATGTTCCTAGTTCTTTTTGAATAAGAAGCTTTTTTAAACCTTTATTTAAATTTATTATCTGATTTATAGTTACTTTCAGACATAGTGATAATTTGTTTCACGTCTGTTGGGGGAGGTCAGACTATTTAAATTTTACCAGATCAAGTAAACCCTCATTGGTAGTACATTGTGGAGAGGTTGGCAGTTAGGAGATAAAACACGCAGAAACTAATGAGAACATTGTTTTGCATATTGAGACAAATTTCTAATTGTTAGAAAACATGCTTAAGGAGAAGGAAATAGATATAAATTAGCCAAAATGTCTGGGCAGGCCTTCAAATTAAAAAAGATGCATAATTATTTTGTTTTATGTTTTGTAGCTTTTAATGTGTAATTATCCTAATATTGTTTAAAAATCAATGTTATAAATTGCATGTATTTTAAACTGTGAAATTTTATGAGATTGTGATATTAATAGGGTTTTTTTTAACAAATATTATTAAAAAATAAATTTAATTTAATAGTGGCCATGTAAATCCATAATGACTAAGGTTTATCTAATACCTAATTTAATTATAACTAAATCCATTCTCTTAAAAATTCTCTATTTATTAAAGCAAGTTATTGCTTTTTGTTAACACGCTGAGCCCGGCGTCGGTCCCTGGGAACCGACACTGGAATTTTCGTTTGGCTAGCGTCGGTCCGGCAGACCGACAGTATTAAAGTTAAAAAATAAGTATAGTCTCAATGAAATGTGAAAAAATGTAGTTTTAATGAAATTTATTGAAACATTCTAAACAAAAATATGGCTTAGCTTTACATATATTCTATTACAATACGAAACAACTATTTTGGTAACATTTTTGGCAAACTTGCATCCAAATAGTTTTGAATTGTCATCATAACATTTTGAACAATACTTTTGGACTTTATGTGCGTCTCCTTTCTTTTTGTATAATTTATGAATAATTTAAGTTGGCTGATCGCTGCCTGCTGAACAGAAAGGAGAGCAAATTCCACGCCGGGCTCAACGTGTTAAACCTTTACCGTGGTCACAAGGTAAAACATAAAAATATAAAAATTCATGTGAATCTTATTCTTTGCATCTAGTAAGACTTAATGGAAAACAAATTATCACCGCTAATGCTTTAGTGGCTTAACAGAACCTTAAAATATATTAACTGAGTTACAACCCCTGGAACTCTGCACGAAGCTATAACACTAACAGCGTCAGACAGAGATCAGCTAACTTTCAAAACTTGCTAACTGTGCCTACATCAGGCATTTCAGGTTTGTTCTGGTCAGCAGGTCTCTCTATAGGTGAGCAGGAGCGGTGACAACAGCCAATCTTTTGTTATGAATCATGCTGATTATGATTTTAATGCTCATTTTAACCTATGCTGCTTGACATAAAATCTACTTACTATTTACTAAACCTCTAGATTGAGCAAGTATGTGACAAAATGAGACATAAAAAAAAAAAAAAAAAAAAAAAAAAAAAAAAAAAAAAAAAGCTGTTTTAGTAAAATGTAACTAAAATGTTACTTATCTTCTTTCAGATATGTTCAGTTATTATGAGTGTAAAATATGTAATGCTACTTGATAAATTTCATAAAATTAATTATATTCTTAAAATATTAATAATTATGTTAAGTTATGTTTAATAATAATGCATCCTACTCACGTTCAGGCATAAATATAATATTTTTAATTGAATTTATTCAGTTCCCATTTGCTCATAGATCCTTAATTTTTTTCATTAATGGTCCTTAAAAGTCCTTAATTTCCTTCTGCAGAAATGTGTACGAACCCTGTAAATAAAATTAAATGAAAGCATTCATAAATTGTAAACTACATGTCATCTGAAATCCAACATTTTCCCACCAACAGCAGCTTAACTTCCTGCGAATATTAAAACAGTAAAACTTTTAAAAATAAATGCAATATTTCGAAATTTTAAATTAAAAAAAAAATTCTGGCTGCACTAAACTCACACTCATTACAATCACCGAAATAAAGCTCCATGTTTGTCACAAAAAATGTACAGCTGGAAACCACAACTAAATCGAAATTGTGCCAAATAAAAACTCGCCAAGTTTCATAAATGAATGAATGTATCATATTAAGATAATTTCTCAATATTGCTTTTTATTCTACCATATTGCAACTTTTAATGCTTCATCTCCAAAAATAAATTAATATACAGATGCATTTTATGACCAGGTGTTAAGTAGAGTTGGTTTTCAGTTGACAGTAATTTTAAAAGTGACAATTTTTTTCATGATGGCCACTGTAGAATAGAAGTACTGTTTTGAATTTTCTTTTAGTCATATTTATGAGTGATTGCGTCATATTTAAGATAATTTCTCAATAGATTGAATGGTTGCTGTATTATATTTTTATTTAATTTCAGGGCAAGGATTGGTGGACTTGTGAATTTTGCTTTGGAAATTACATTAAACAGTTTCACATATTATATTTTTATTTAATTTCAGGGCAAGGATTGGTGGACTTATGAATTTTGCTTTGGACATTACATTAAACAGTTTCACATAGAAGGTTTGTATAGCTGCTTTTCAAATAAAAACTATTTATTATATATTATAAATATTTTACTGCAATATTATATGCTGCATATGAGCATTTGTATTTAAAAAGGTATCCTAAAATAAAATAAGTTTAACTTTTATTTAAAGTGGTAGTACATATTGTTTTTCATATACAGATATATTTATAATTAAATTGAACCCTTTTTATGGCTGCATATACTTCCGTGCAATAATGATCAAAATATTAATATCTTGTCTTTTTAGAGAAAATGACTGTGATGACTTAAGTTATTAATTTGTATAGAAGGTTTATCTTTCAAGGCTTCACCAATTAAAGAAAATACTGATGTAGTATCTAGATTAATAAATTAAACTATAAATTATTAGTTATGGAGATTCTGAGTGAATAATGTAATAAAGCAAAACCAAGGTAAAATTTAGCTCCCCCCGACATATAGTAGTGATAATTTAAATAATTTCATATTTGCATACCAGTTTTGCAAGTGTTGCTATTACATGAAATGTAAGGTTTTTATCTTCCACATGGCCTTGGAATAGCAGTGTTACGTTGTAATATTTTTCATAGTGATGTTTTATAGTTCATTACATTGTAATATTTTTCATAGTTTAAATTTTTTAAATTGATGCTCCTTTAATATTGATATTTCATTTAAAGTCACTTCTTTGTGCAGTAGTCACACTATCACTCAGTTTGTAGAACACTCTCACATGTTCCTCAGCATGTTCCATACCACTCCAATGTTGCATAATTATTACATGGCCATGCATTCACAGCTACTATGCATTGGCTCAGAACAACTGGCAGCATTACAGTGTTGCCAATTCTAATGTTCAGAATTTCCCATTTCCCTGTGCCACCCTGCATTTCAGATTTGTTAGATGCTTAATTCGCTTAAAAGTTAATAAGCATGAAGCAAAATAAAATGTTTCTATAAATAAATAAATCAAAATGTTTCTATAAATAAAATATAAATGTTCAAAATAAACATTTGTATTGTGCTAAATATCTGCATTTTCTAAAAGCGTGATATAACTTTACATTATTAGCGTGATATAACTTTTTGATAATAATTCAACCATCCACATATTCTGTGCATCATAAATTAAAAATTAACACGAAATACATGTCCCAAATTTAAAAAATTCATATTAAAAATTTTTCTCATATATAATATTACTCAATAATTGCTATAATAAATATTACTGGGATCACTATATAAAGTTCTCCTGAATGTTAAAAAACATTGAAAACTTTTTGTTATCAAAATAATTAATTTAAATTTGCATAAAAAATCAGTTTTAAATTTTGTAGACTTTATTATTTCAGTTATTATAGTATAAAAATTATTAGTGTATGTGATTTTAATTCTGGAAAAAAAATTTTTTTTCCATGCTACCTCCTCCCCTTTTTTTGTTTGAAATTTTGTGTGAAGAAAAAAAGAATATCAAATGTAAAATGAAAAAATAATCAACATATACTCTGTATCATAGATTCATAAAAGTAATGAATGAAAATTACTATGATCTTGATAGCTTTTCTCAGTACATTTGGCTTCATAAAATTTTTTCTGAAAATAACTGGTGGAAAATATGATAAAGCAACAATAATATCTTCAGCTTTTTTATTTGTATAATTTTCTTAAAATGAACATGCAAAAAATACCATACTCTTACTTAATTGTGTGTATTTTTTTGGAGGCATATTGTCTGGGTTCTTTCATCCCTTAGCTGTGGTCTCTAAATTTTTAAATGGTAATGTAAAATTTTGTCATTTAAAGTAAGAATTAATTCTAGAGAGTAGAATGTAATCTGCAGGTGCCAAATCTGGGGAACTTGGGGAATAATTAAGAACAATTATTTTTTTCCCAGTAAGCTGCTTGATGACAGTTACATTAACTTATGCTTGCTTTTAAGATATGAAACTCATAACAGCAAGTATTAGTGTATAAAATAAAATGAAGAATTCCAGTCAGATGTCTAACTATTGCACTACTTACGCAACTTCTTTGGGATTAGCTGAAAATATGCAACCTTGAAGCTTAGATACATTGACTCATTATAAAACACCTTTTTTCCAGTTGATGCTTTGCTATCGTACTGATATTTTTTTAAAAATCACATATTAAAGATTTTCCCTCTTCTGTTTGTTGAATTAATTAAATTTTCTTCATTAAAGCATTATTTTTAAAATTTCTTCTTTAGATTTGTTCGAGTGTTCTTTATGAAGAATATTAAAACAAATTTATAGAATTTATTTGCAGATGTTATATTATTGTTCTTATTAGTTTTTGATAAATATTAATTCAAGCATATCTTGATTTTGCCAGACGGCCAAATTATTGGTCAAGTCCTAACATTAGGCCTTTATGAGTCTGATTATGACTGGGATAATGAGACTGATCAGGTAGTAGTATCCTTTAGATCTTTTTCTTGTTGTTTCAGTAGAATATTAATTTAAATTCATATCTATATATGTGTGTGTATTTATTTATTTTAATTTTTAGGAAAAATTTAAGCATGCTAAGCAGAGGTACCACACACAATATTATGTAAATGGTACAAAATGTGATCTAACTGGACAGCCTCGTAATGCTGAAGTGCGAGTAAGAAATGCTATATTTATGTTCTTTAATTATTTTGTGTTTATAGTTTTGTATTATGGGATACTAATTGCTCTGATCTTTAGTTTTATACTTTATGATTTTCAGTTAGCTTAAAATTCAGATTTCCTATTATTGAAAATGTTTTGAAATTTCAATTGAGTTCAGTTTTCTTTTTTGAACTTTGGATTAGTTAAATGTACTCTTACTAAGGCTTAGAAACCTTTTTTTTTTTTTTAATTAACTTAAAGCAATATTATTGTCATATTAAAATTATTTTTTTGCTGTAACTGAATAATTCACTCCCTTTGTTCTTAAACTTAATATGTTTCACAAACTATAATCAATCAACAAATGGGCTGTATTCCTACACTTTTATTTCATTACACTAATTATAAATAATATGTCAGCGATGCGAAATAATTGATACAAAATAAGCGAGCCATTCTACATGGCTGTCACAAACATAATTCTATCAATCAATTATCTTGTTGCCACACATAAAGTTCAAAACTAAAGGAAGAAAAACAAAAAGAATTTACGCTGTTTGCAACAATAAAATGAAGCAAACGATACTCACATAAACATCCTGGCCCTCGTTGAAATCCCAAGGGATTTCAACAGTTGGAGCATTTTGAAACTTCTTAGTCTGTAATAAAAGATAAACACAAGAAAAATAATACAAAATATTATATGCGAAACAGTTCATAGTTTTTAGTCTGAATAGGAAGAGGACACAATTTCACGACTGGTCATTTTATGACACCATGACCAGTTTTAATACTAACAACTCTGACTCTATGATCTGAGCCCGGACAAATAGCAATTATTCTCCCTAACCTCCATTTAAGAGGCGGAAGGTTGTCTTCTTTGATGAGTACTAAGTCATTGACTTTTTAAATTGTTTTGACTTTTTTACCATTTAGGTCTTTGTTGAAGCTGAGACAGGTATTCTCGACTCCCATCTTTTCCAGAAGTGCTGAAAAATAAACTGTCTCACATGCCATCTGTCAATGTGATTGAAGGAACTATAATTTAGGTCTGGTTCAGGTATGGCAGTTAAAGACATTCCTATTAGGAAATGACCAGGTGTTAATGCAGTTAAATCATTTGGATCAGCCGATGTTGGACACAATGGCCTAGAGTTGAGACAAGCCTCAACCTGCGCTATCAAGGTTTGAAATTCCGGATAGGTCAGCACAGTATCACCAACAGTCCTTTTTAGATGTAATTTCATTGACTTTACTGCCGATTTCCATAGTCCACCAAAATGGGGAGATGATGGCAGGTTGAATATGGATTTTATTTCCTCTAAAGACAAAAATTTGTGAATTTCTTGATTTTGCTTACATTGCAAAAAACATTTTCTGATTTCTTTGTCTGCACCTTTAAAGTTAGTACCGCAGTCACTATAAATCTCAAATGGTTTCCCTCTTCTTGCAATAAATAGTTTCAATGCACTTAAAAATGCCTTTGTTGACAAATCTTCTACCACTTCAAGATGTACTGCCTTGATTATAAAACACACAAATAAGCATACGTAACATTTAAATGATTTTTGTCCACGTCCTGCACGATGTTTAATCATGAACGGTCCAGAAAAATCTATTCCAGTTCAATGAAATGGTCGCGATTGTGTTACTCTAGTAGATTCCGGTAGATCAGCCATTATTTGACTTGCAGTTTTAGCTCTAAGTTTGCAACACGTGATACAAGATCTTACTACTTTTCGGATAGCAGATCTAGCAGCTATGATCCAAAATTGCTGTCTAATTAAAGATAGAAGAAGTTCCAGTGCTGCATGCAGATATTTGACATGAAAGTGTCTAATTATGATTTCTGTCAGATTGTGTTTTTGAAGGTAATAAGATTGGATGTTTTTTCATTTTCTGATAGTTGCGCATTTTTCAGTCTTCCTCCTACACGTAACACACTTTGTTGTCATCTAAAATTGGACACAAGCTAAGGAGGTTGCTGTTTGTAGGTAAGTCCTTTCCCAACTCCAAACATTGAATTCCTTTAAAAAAGTGAAATAGCTGTATTATTTGGACAATACAGAAAGTTGCAGCTTGAATTTCATTACTAGATAAAAAAGACGTATTTCTTTCTAGATATGCTACTTTAGAATTCGATATGAATCTTAATAGCCAAGCAAATATGCGTTGTAACTTTGGAAATGAAGATATATTTGATATAATAGCAAGTTCCTGTACAGGTTCAGAAACTACAAATGATACTGTTTTACATGCATCTGGTAATGCCTCTTCATCTATAAGAATATTTTTAGACAAGGCAATCTCACTGCACTTTAACCAAGAAGGACCATTCCACCACAATTGATGAGATAATAGTTCTGCAGGAAATAACCCACGTGAAGCACAATCAGCTGGATTTTCCTTTCCATCAACATTGCTCCAGTTCTCAGGTGGTAAGATGGATTGTATTTCAGAAACTCTATTGGATACGAATACTTGCCATTTTTTAGGATCTGACCTTAGCCATGACAACACGATTTGTGAATCACTCCAAGCTTGCACTAAATAAAAATTTATAACTAATGCAGCTTTTACAGACTGAATCAAGCGTGCCAATAACACTGCTGCACATAATTCCAGTCTTGGAATCGTAATAGATTTTAATGGTGCTACACGAGTTTAACATTAATGTCAGAGTTATTGCAAGTTTTGATATAAATAACTGCTGCATAACCTCTTTCAGATGCATCACAAAATCCGTGAAGTTCACATCAAAAATAATCAGGTAGCAGAATTTTCCTAGGTATATTTATAGAATTCAAAAGTTTAACTTCTCTACATAGATTTCTCCAATTTTTATCAATCTCTTCTGTTACAGGATCATCCCATGATAATTGTAATTTCCACAATTGCTGAAGGATCATTTTAGCGAGAATTACAAACGGAGCTATCCACCCCAATGGATTGAATAGTTTTGCTATGAATGACAAAATAATTCTTTTAGTCGGAACACTTTGATACTCTATTACACCGACATTACATTTGAATTCATCATTGTCCGGATGCCATTCCAATCCCAGAACTTTCAATGTTTTGTCTTCTATTACATGATGAATATTGTCACTATCTGTGTTTGTTAAGCCTGAGGTTTTTAACAATGACGGTTCACTTGTCGACCATTTGTGAAGCTCAAAGCCACCACTTTTTAGCAGATGTTGCAATTCGTCTATCAATGCAATACCTTCCGAACTATCTTTTACACCAGTTAACATATCATCAACATAAAAATCTCTAAAACTATATTCTTTGCCTTTGGAAAGTTCAATCCTTCATCAATCGCTAACTGACTCAAAACTTTGGATGCAAAATATGGAGCAGCTGCAGCTCCATATATAACTGTTTTCAAACGACAAACTTGTATTTGTTTATACGGGCTATCTCTCCATAATATTCTCTGAAAATCTCTATCTTTTTTATGAACCTTTATCTGTCTGTACATCATTTTAATATCAGCAGTTATTGCAGTGTTATGAAGTCTAAATCTTAAAAATACAAATTAAGTCATCTTGTATTTTTGGGCCTATCATTAGTGTATCATTTAAAGAAACACCTGTGGTTGTTTTGGCGCTCGCATCGAAAACAACTCTCAATTTTGTTGTTAAGCTAGAGTCCTTCAACACGAAGTGATGTGAGATATAATAGTGTTTATTCTCTAATTTATAATCTGTGTCTGGCACTAATTCTACGTGTTCTAGTGAAAAGTACTCTTTCATAAAACTGAATATAAATATACTGGTTGTAAATTTCTTTCATAGATAACAGCCTCTTCTCCAAGTATTGAAATCTTCTGTACGCCATTTCACGGGAGTCACCTAGAATATCTCTATTATGTTTGAATGGTAATGCAACTGAATAACGACCTGATGTGTCTCTAAAATGCGAGTTTTTAAAATGTTCTTCACAAAGTTTTTCTTCATTTGTTAAAGGTTGTACATTTGGAAACTTTTCTAACTCCCAGAAAGAATTTACTAACTCATCTGTGTTTGTATTCAAATGATTTACATATACTGGCTCAAAATTTGTAGATTCAAAATTTGTAGTACCCAAAATTATCCATCCCAACCTCGAATTTAAAGCAAATGGTAGATCAGGAACACGTTTGACAATTTCTCCTGTCATTAAATGCAGAAATACATTTACTCCAAATAAAATGTCAACTGGTTGTGACTTGTAAAATAATGGATCAGCTAATTGTAAATCACTGAAGATATCGAAGATGATTGATGGCAAAGATACATAGGGAATGTTATCTGTCACCTTGTCCAGTACAAATGCTGATGTTGATACACGAATATCACTTTTAAAATGAGAAGTGAATACTAAATCGACTTCCCCATTACTTATAGTATTAAATTCTCCTAAACATGATACAGAAATGGAATTATCTTTCACTCGTAATCCTAGTTTCTTCACACAATCCCTTGAAATAAATGATCTCTGAGATCCAGTGTCACATAAACATCTACACTTCAAAAACTGTTGTTCAGAATTTTGAACTTTTATTAAAGCAGTACACAATAAAACGTGACTGGTTTGATTACCTTTTGCATTCGAATCATAATGAGAGGCACAAACTGTGGCTGAAACGTCCTTAGGACTCGTTAATTCATCTCTTTTAGGGATAGATTGCGTAGGCGGATATACTGTTTAACTGAGTTTTATTCTTTGAATTATTTACAATGTGCAAAATACTGTGATGCTTCTTAAAGCAATGTTGACATGTATTTAAACTCTTGCATTTTTTGAGCAAGTGCATATTAGATAAACAATTAAAACAGTAACAGTTAGATTTTACAAATTCTATCCTTTGCTGAACCGATAAATTTAGAAATTTCGAACATTTGGCTAAACTATGATCTTCTTTACAATAACCACAACCCAAAGTAGCAACCAGAACATTATTCTTATTTTGAAACACAGATTTAGGTACCTTATTACTTGTTGATTTGCTATTTTGAAGTGTTCTTGCGTAGTTTTTTAGAAATTCAATTAAAGTCATAAGTTTTGGAATTTCATTACATTTTAACTGATGTTCCCACCATAATTTTGAAGAAGGGTCTAATTTTTGCAAAATTAAATAAGTCATTAAAGTGTCATCAAAATTATCAATGGTTTGATTCAATACTTCTAAAGAACCAATTACTTCATTAATATTGTGAACTAAATTTAAAATAGCAAATGCTGATTCATTTTGAATAGTTGGTAAGCTTAGAAAACGTTTAATATATGCAAAAATTTGTTCTCTCTTATTTGAATATCTTTCGTCTAACAGATTCCATGCTATTTCAAAATTACAATCCGAAATTTGAATGGTTTGAATAATGCGATATGCTTCACCTTTCAACGAAGCCTTCAAATACTGCAATTTTTTAGCATTAGATAAATTTGTATTATTTCTTACACAAGCACTGAAAAGATCTTTAAAAGCTATCCATTCTGTAATATTACCACCAAAAGTCGGTAATGTTAACTTGGGTAATTTAATATTGTCAAGAAACCTGTTCTGAAATTACACCATTAGAATTATTTTTACTATTTTGATTTTTTAATATTTTTTTCACCTTTAAATTTCCACAAATAAATTTTATCTGTGTACTCCTGAACATTATCTATTTCATTTTCTAATTCTTTAGTATCTGTAATTAAACTTTCGATTTCAGAATCAAGCTTCTTTAACTCAATTTCTTTTTGTGTCAATAATTCGACAGATTCCTCTAGTTCTATTAAATTAATTTCATCTGCAGTTAAAATAGTTTCAATTTTCTTTACATAATTAGAAACACTCCTGCGTAAGACCGCTCTTTTTGTTTTAAAAGTTTTAAGTTCACTCATAATTGATCAATTCAAAAACAGAAATTGTTCTTAAATCACTTAACACTATTATTAAAATGAAATCGAATTCTATGCTGTATTACAACATTGTTCTTAAAATTTAACAACAAATTAAATGAATTTTTGTTCAAAATCCACTTACCTCACAAAGTGGATAATTTTCACCAACCATATGCATATTTGCCTTGTTAGAATACACTTAGAACAGTCACTATCTTCACTAGCTCTCCGGCTAGACTTTTGACCAACAATAAATGTTCTTAAACTTAATATGTTTCACAAACTATAATCAATCAACAAATGGACTGTATTCCTACACTTTTATTTCATTACACTAATTATAAATAATATGTCAGCGATGCGAAATAATTGATACAAAATAAGCGAGCCATTCTACATGGCTGTCACAAACACAATTCTATCAATCAATTATCTTGTTGCCACACATAAAGTTCAAAACTAAAGGAAGAAAAACAAAAAGAATTTACGCTGTCTGCAACAATAAAATGAAGCAAACGATACTCACATAAACACCCTTATTATTATTTTTCGTTGCGGTATTCAGTGAAATTATATAATCTTTAAAAAAGAATGGCTATTATTACTTACACTACTTGGAGTTTGTATTAATTTAAAATATGCAATATACAGTCAAAAGTAGTTAATCCGAACGGCCATAATCCGGACCTCAAAGCTACAAACTTTCTGCGCATGCATGTAATAAATACCTTTATGCATGCGTGTACGTATGCGCATAATACGTTCACACATGCGCATTTAATGTATAACGGACGGTATAAGCTAAGCTATTGTATAATTATCTATTTCAGTTAATGTTGCAGATTGTGTTGTTCCTTAATCTTCGAATTGGATCTGGCTTATTATTTTTTGCAGACTGTTAGAGCAATTTTATAAAACTAAGCTTGAACTTTTGATTATATCAAATAGAATTTCTGATGCTGGATACTGCCAAGGGATCTACAAAGCGAAAGTATGTTTCGATGTCCATCAAACAAAAAGTGGAATTGCTGCAAAAAATGGATAAAGGCATATTCTTTGCATGTGCTCGTTGAAAGAAATGTTTAATAAAGTAAACAAATAAATATCAAGCTTTTTTTTTGTAAATTTTGGTACTTTTTAGATCATAATTGTTCTTTATTTTATAAATTACGTTTTCATATTTTTAATTTTATAATTTCTGCATGCCATCTTACCAGATTTAAACTGATGATCTATAATCTGGAAAAATCTATAATCCGGAATCGCTGAAGTCCCGACGAGTCCGGATTAAAGACTTTTGACTGTATTAAAAAATTAAGCATTTACTTACAGAAGTATTGCAAAAAATTAAATTAGCATGAAGCGTTTTAGTGTCCATCTCCTACAGATCACCACTGTCAATAAACTAACATTTTTGTAATTATAATTAAACAGTAGTACTAAAATTTTCAGAAAGTTATTTTCGGTAAGTTGCATAATTACCAAACGTTGTTTGATAATGTCATAAGTGTTTATCTAAACTAATTTAATAGCTTCTTAGGAAATATACCTTATGCTTTATCATTGAAAGTGTAATAGTTAAAAAACACATAAATAGTAATAAGTGAAATATTACTTGACCAAAAAAAAATAGCAAACAATCCAGTATTGGATTTCTTCATATTTGGAGTGATGATAACTGAAGTTCTATTGTATATTAGAATATTATTCATAGAAGTTAAGTGGTTGAAATTTCTTTATAGATTTATTGTGAAGAAGATGCTGGAGATTACATATATCGTGTTGATGAGCCAGGCACTTGCAGTTATGTGATAACTGTTCACACGTCTCGCTTGTGTTCACATCCAAAACTAAAACCATTGCCTTCTAATAAAGCTCATACCATTCCATGCCATCCTGTATTAAATAAAGAACAATACTCCAGTTATATAATAAAATTAAATGGTAGGTGAACACTGCAACTTTCTGGTTTGTTTCTAAAACATTTGTGAGGCTATGAGGAACAAATAAAATAAATTTTACTCTTTGTGTATTCTTGTGTCAATAATTATCATTAATTATTACAAGATGTTTCTTAATTATCATATTAATTACTAAAAATTAAATCTGAAAGTGTATTTTGCTACTTTTAATCAAAAATGTTTTTTTCAGTTTGAGGAATTTTGTCTATCCACGTTTGCTGTTAAATGTTGCTTGTGATATGTAGTATTTTTCTGTTTAAGTAATATGAAAATTCTTAACACTTAAACAGAAAATAATCAGTAGCATGGGTGATCTGCTGCTTTTATTTTTTTAATGGCAGCTCTAAAATGCTACCTATAAATTCGAACATATAATAAAATGTTGGTGAAAAGAAATGATTAAAACAACAGTCAATTTTAATTCTACTCTCTGAAAAATAACTAACTAAAAGCAGTAGGTCATGTACTACATGAGTACTAATTATTTTATGTGTGTAAAATTTGAAATGTAAATTAGTTTACATCAAATTGAGTTTTTATGGGCTGCGTGGACATTTTAAAATATATCTCATTATTGCTATATAAATTTTTTCAAGAATTTTTTTTATCTTTTTTAATCCTCTTGTTTCTTTTGATGAGTTATTTAGCAGTGAAATTTGGAGATCTGATGTCTGGCTCACGTTAATCAATTATACTATACATTCTTTTAGTCTGGAGGTGAAGTGATTACTAGAATAGAGTTTTTTCCAATATTTTCTGTTCCTGCAGTATTTATAATATTTCTTAATGAATTTGTAATTTATTGTTTTAGTTTAGTGACCATTGTATGTAGTTTATGAAAATATTATTTTATATTACATGTGGCCAATTAAAAGAGCTTTTACAATGTATTTAATAAACTTAAAAAATTTAAATAAAACGACTACGGTTTTTATTGTTCATTTTTTATTTTAATTGTGAATTTCAACATCTATATAAATATGATGTTAATTATTTTTATTTAATTAGAAGTAACTAACTAATTTGTGAGTTAATTTTATTTAAATAATGGTAAGTAACTAAATGTAATTATGTAAACTAATTTTTAATTTGTAAAATTTACAGAAATTTCAACTTCTAAAATTTTGTACACTAGGAAAGTAATTAAATTGTTGCTCATTACGTGGAGGAAAAAAGTACTGGTACACTTAACTGGTATGCATTTATGTGCTCTAAGTCAAATTTGTGAGCATTTATTATATGGCATAAATTTTTATTTAAATTTCAGTTAAAACAAATATTTTTGATATTTAGAAATATTCAAAGTATGAGATTTATTGTTGCATTTTGTCATTGCAAAGATTCATAATTCAACATGCTGCTTCTCTCAGGAATTTAAAATTAGCTCTGCAGAGGTTTTGTTAGCAAAGCATTTGCATGCTAAAACAGGATAAATAGGTATTTACGTATTAGTATATTGTGATACGCATACACACATTGTGATATTTATTAATTTTTTACACATACAAAATTTATTTTACACACATTTTATATTTATCCAAACATTAATCAAGAAACCTACTTACTTGTGGCCTTTATGTTTCTTTTGTTCTGGTGAAAATTTCATGGCAATTGATCTGAGTATGTGGTATATCATTCCATTTTATTGGTATGAGAACTTAACAGAACTGCATAGTGGAACTTATAAAAGCATCATGCTTTCCCTTTTCATGTCTTCCTTTCCTTTTCATTGTATTAAATTAATGCTGAAATTTTTATATGATTTGAGGCTGAAATGTTTCATATGGAAAATTAAGATATGATAAATTGTACTTCATTGGAATGCATATCAAGCATGAAAATTAAGGCAATATAGAGTTTTTCAAAATAATAAATTATTTAATGTCAGTTGTACTTCCTCAGGTATAACATAGAAATTCATTAAACATAGAAATGAAAGATTCATCTTATTTTTGTAAAATGTTTTTTAAATTTTGAAACACATAATTTTATTGATATTTTGTATGTGAGAAGATATAAAATCAGATTTTTCAAATCCAGGATTATTTTAAAAGTGTATTTGATGTACAAATATATTACAAAATCTTGTATGAGATTTATATGATGTAAATATTGTAATAGTAATAAATAACATGTAGTCATTTTTAAATGAATTTTTATATGAAAATAATTTAATTTTTATAAGAAATTTTTTATAATTGCTTTAATTATTACTTTCAATGTAAACTGAACATTTAAAAATGAGTCCATAAAATAGTACAAATAATGTATTTCAGTGCATTTAAACCATTGAAATCTGATGTGAAAATCAATATATTTATATGAGCAGAGAATGGCATGTGTGCAAAAATTTTTATTTGGTTTTGTTAAAAATGCACTTTAAAATAAAAAGAATTTTTTAATTTGATTACTTGATTTCCAATGTTGCATTCATATTTAGTATTTTAATTTTGAATTAAATAACTGAATTGTAACAATTGAAAATGTGTTTGGCTTGTCCAGCATTTATTTTTAATTTTTCATGCAAATATTATTTCGTTTAGACAGCAAGTTAGAGTTGTTAAATGGCATCTTTGAGACTGTACTCTCATGATAAAATTTTTGCCAGTATATGCTTAACACTTTATTTGCAGTTCATTTAATATGTTATTGCTTATAGTAAACAAGTTTATTCTTCATTCATTATTGTAATATATATTTTGTATGAAGATAAAATTTATATTTATTGCTTATATTAATTATGGATTTAAATTTTCTCACAATTTTTCAGATATCTCTCATTAATTTCATTCTGAAAAATAGGAGTAAAAAACAAATGCTGATAATACCTTACGATATATATTCTTTTGATTTAATTTTGTATTTTACTTTCAATTTCTTTTCTTCCTCCTATATGTATTTCCCCCCTTTTTTTAGTTTTGGTATCACATCTTTCAATCTGTATTAAAAGTTGTGCCTAAATATGATTCAGAAATACTTCCAGAAAGGATATTTTATCAATTTATTACTTTCCTCCCTTTGGAATTTCATTTAGAATTAGGATTTAATTCTTATAATTGACAAAGGTAAAACAATTTAAAATTGATTTAAGCATTCATTATCTCTTCAATTTCGTGTGAAATAATGGCGAGTAAGAAGAGAGGATCCATTGTTTATTCTTAAAGCAAATTGACAGCAATTCTCAATATTGATGCTATGCATTAATAATCATATAACTGTTTTCCCTTGCTTTAGCTGTGTTAGTTTTTTAAATAACTGATATAATCTTTAGGTGTTTTACTTTCATTTTAGTTCTGTTTTCATCATCATTATCAAATTTCAGATTAAAGTAATGCATGAAATTTTGAACATCACTGATATAAATTTTCAGGTTTTTTCATTGCTTATTTTACTAGCTTATTATGACAGAATTCCTGTGGTTTAGCTGTTTTAACCCTGAAGGCATGTTGTAGGAGAAGGCAGTTTACATTTATTATGTATATGAATTAACTGCAAAAATCTAAACTACTTAACCCAAAGTATTGGGGCATCTTTTCTAAATGAAATATTCTGTCTATGACATGAGTGGTAGTATGTAATATATTATAAATAGCAGGTTATAAATAAATAATATTATAAATAGCTTCAAGGTTACTAATGGATATCAAGGTCAGTTTCTGGAAAATGGATGCCCATCGTTTTTGTAGATGAGAATAGAAGTGAAAAAATATGTTATTGGATGCTAGAATGGTAGGCCTGATAGTTTCCTAATTAACATTATTACTTTCAATTAATTGTTACTTTCAATGTAAACTGAAAGTTTAAAAATGAGTCTGGAGGAAAAAAATCTGCCGAGTCTTTGACTATTTGAGAGTTGTGTTTAGGTGTGTAGAATGCCACGTTTGTTTACATGTTTGACTGTTTTATACTAACTATGAAGTTTAATATTATAGTTCTGTGTGCTGTTTAATATTATAGTTCTGTGTGCTGTAATGTTGTTCCTGTTGGAGACTCTTAGGTTTATGTGAAGCAGGTTATGAGTTTTCATATTTTTCTGGTCTTTCTTAATAGTTTTGTACTATATTTGTGATAAGTATGTTTCATGCAGAGTTCCATTATCATTAAGATGACTGGCTATGTTCATAAATACCATAATTTGTTTAGTGAGATGTATGTGAAAGAATGTTATTGATTTTAGAGTTCTGACATCAATTCTACTGAATATTTATGGCATGAGTAGTAGTAATAATTGAGCTAGTGAAGTTTGTTGAAAATAAGTGCCTGATATTTCTGTTGCTCTGAGGAAGATATTGGGCCACATTTCAAGCATAATCTTTTAGGAGATTGTGAACATTACAGAAATTTGTCTTCCACATTGAGCAGAAATTATGGAAGCTGCAAGGGTTCGAAATCCTGCTAGATGTATAAAACTTTAATGCCTTCTTTGAAGATGCCCAGTACTTTTGGCAAAGTACCTGTATGTTCCTTTTTTCTAGCTTTTTTATGAAGATATTAATATCAAATCTGAAGTTAAATTGTGTATAAATATAAAAGTTGCAGTTTTGTAGAAATTACTCACTTTGTTAAAAATATGTATGACACAGAATTATAGTTAAATGTACTATTGTTATCTCTCATTTCTCGTGATCTTAAATATATGAAATAATTTTTAAGTGACTTTAAAATGAAATATCTGTGAACAAAACTGATTGTTTTAATATGGTTATGTATTTAATTAAATTAAACAATCACATAGGATTTCTAGGACCAAAAACAAGTTTTTTGAATAATTATGCTTTGATAAATAGGATTAGTTTTTGCTAAATCCCTGGTTAATGCTAGAGAGGCAAGTCACAGATAATCCAAACTATCAAGTTTACATGCATATTGTATATGTTTATTTGTTAAAAAAAACCAGTAGTTTTACTTTGTTATTAAGAATATTTAAAGATTTGCATATTTATCAAAGTATTTTCTTCTCATTGTATCTGAATCCTGTTTGGCCAGTGATGTCCAGTAGAGTTTCAGCAGAAGTTCATTGTTGTCTTGGGACTAATGTAATTGTTAGTCTTCTTCACTTGTAATTTTCAGTATCTGTCTGCCTTTTCTGTTCTTGCGACATGTGAAACGATGTCCACATCACTCAAGCATTGAAGGCCCGACTCATATTTGATGTTTTACTGATCAAAATTTTTGAAGAATTTTACATTTTCAATTTTTTGGTTATACAACTTCAGTTATTTTCTCGACTTCTTCACAAATACACAAATCTCTGATGTCTATATTAAAAGGAATTTTTTGTATGATAAAACCAGCATTTTGTTTTCAAATCTTAAGTTTTTGTATGTTGAGCATTTCATACCCTTTTGGTTATAAAGACCTGCTGCACTCTCACAGTCTCTTGTGAAGTCACAGTCTCTAACTTCTTTTATTTAACAATATCATGAACAGTTTGTGTACCATTTCCGTAATTTTTGGCAAACTTTAATTGTTGATTCTTCATGTTTAGATCTTTCGATTAATTTTTTTTTTTTTTTTAATGTTAAAACAACTTTTTTTCTACTTAGTGTTTGTAGCATGTTCTTTATTCATTCTTTCAGTCCTAAAATTTTAAATCAGTTTTTAAAAGAATAAGGAGAAAATATGCATGAAAATATATACGAAGGAAAAAAATCCCAGTGACCAACTCAAATGATGTCTTCGACTGTTCCACGTGCAGAATCAGTTGTATGAGGTAATTGTTGAAACTAAACTTAAAGACATGATTCAATTTTTAGAACATACTGGGGTTTGTGTGCATTTGTTTTTGTATATTTTTTATGCAGCCTAAATTGAGAGTGCACTCACTATTTTTAGTATTAGATGTAAATGTGATAAGTCATTGTGTGTCATAACTAATGTGTTAGACGTACTGAAAATTTAAAACATATTTCGTAATTGTAAAATTTATTGCTTTCTTAAGTACTGAGTTTTAAATTTGTTTGAATTTTCATTAACTTCAAGAATAAGTTATGTAATTTTTTATTGATTTTGAACTTTATAATTTTAATAGTTTAGATGAAACTTGTATATTTTTAGTAATATTTATAAAATAAAACCTATCTGTAAGCTTTCTTTCATTTTTGGATATGTTCAGGTGGATTTATTAGTGTATTGTGTTCTCCTAATCGTAAATTTTCATATTGTTTATTTAAATAATAATTTAATCCAAAATACATTAAAAACTATTGTTATGACAAAAGGCTGTAAATAAAATAACAAAATATGCAAGTTTTTTTTTCATTATTATTTTTTTAGGTGTTGAAATTTTTATGTTACATCCTTTAGGTATCATCAATAATTAATTTTCTGAAATGTATATGTTGGTAGCTTAGATAAGTTGTTTTCATGAAAATTGAACTTCGTTGATTGGACACTAGTATTTTTATGTAGAAGAAAAAGCTATAGCTGAGCAGAAAAGGAACCAGTGGTTAAATAGCCAACAAGAACGCTTGCAAGTTTTGAAAAATGGAAATTCGCAAGACCTAGAAGGTGAAGAAATTGCTAAATTACGGGAATTTAACAGGATACTTAACCAGGAATTGAACCCCAAACCTAAAGGAACAGATAGTGGATCTGTTAAAGTAGATTCTCCACTCTCTGAAGACAAAGGTTTGTGTCATATAAAGAATATCTGTAATGTCAAGAATTTATATCTATGTATTATATTATGCATATCATTGTCTTACTTTCTCTGTTTTAAAAATGTCATGATGAGTGTGTTTTAAATTTCAGACATATGTGGTATTTTTTGAAAGATTCTATTAACATGCTGATTTTTTTCTCAGATAAAATATCCAGAGTTTCATCTGATTCAGAAAAAAAAACAAATGCTAAATTATTGAAAGAGGGAAGTGAAAAATTAATTCAGAACTTTCTGCTGCAAGACTATGATAAAGGTAAATAAAAATATTTTATATATAAATCCATTGCTAACTGGAATAGGATCAGAATTTTTGTTGTAATTTTTAATTAGTTCTCTCTTAGCATTTTTGTATTACTAAAACTTCACTCTCATAAAATTTTCCTGCTCTAAGTCTAATCTAAATTAAAGTCTTAAAAATAGATCCATAAATTTTTTATTTTCTCTCGTGATAAAATAATATTTAAAAGAAACTTAATGCTTCATTCCTTTCAATGCTGTGCAAACTAGCAATTTTCAAAAGCATAGTTAAATTTGAGTTACTGAAATTTGCTGTGGATGCATATCGCAGTATCCAAATACAGTCAAAAGTTGTTAATCCGGACTCGTCGGGACTTCGGTAATTCCGGATTATTGATTATTCCAGATTATAGATCATCAATTTAAATCTGGTAAGATGGCCTGCAGAAATTAAAAAATAAAAAATATGAAACTGTTATTTATGAAATAAAGAACAATTATGATCTAAAGGGTATCAAAATTTACAAAAAAAAAAAAAAAAAAAAAAAAAAAAAAAAAAGCTTAATATTTATTTATTTACTTTATTAAACATTTCTTTCAATGTAAGTTGTTTAAGTTGCTTCGTTTTATGTGATAATACTTTCTCTTTAATTCTATAAACAGACATAATTTCTTCTTCAGCTATAAAGTTCCGCTGTTAAAGTCCTATAATTGCTGTGTCCAGAATACCGACTATTTGTCAATCGAAATTTTTTCGTTTTCAATAAACTCTGTGTCACTTTCTTCGCTATCGTAAGCGAATTATAATGACGAGGAATTTGATTTAAATCATATCAAAGACGGAGTACATCGAGATGAAATACTGCATTTAGTAAGGAATTATAAGCGAATAAGCGAAATAAAATAAAAACATTTGCCCTGAAGATAAGGATAGTGCTGACAGATTAACTTCCAATTCATTGCGCGCCGCGCCGTTTTGGTGTCCCCCCCCCCCGGGCTGCAGAGCAGCGTGAAATTGATAAACAGATTTCAGAATGGTTTGAGAAACGAAGGATATGCCTTTATCCATTTTTTGCAGCAATTCCACATTTTGTTTAACCCTTTGACGGTTATGGGAATGAGCAGTTTCCGTTTACTTAATTCACGCAGCATTAGGAGTAAACAGTAGTCGAAAGTGGCAGCTGTTTTCCCCTGCCGTTCTTCCGAAAATGTCACCTTTCTCTGGCAATGCCGTAGATAGTTCACCTCGCGCGTTTTAAAAATTTCTTAAAGTATTTGTAGTACATAAATAACAGTTTTTACGTACTTTAAAATAATTATTAAACACTAAATTATAAATGATTATAACCAATTATATAAATAATAATAGTTACTAATTCAGAAGTCAAACAACAAAAATCAGCGTTAATTTACAAAATTAACGCTGATTTTTTGAAAAAAATTTTGTAAATTTAACGCTGATTTTTGTTGTTTGACTTCTGAATTAGTATTTATTCGGCGTGTTATTGTGTCTTAATTAATAATAGTTAATTATAAATATAAGACAAATATTAAATTGAAAGCACTAAATAAATACAACTAATGTAAAACTTTATGAAGCACAGTATAAATACAGTAATTACCTAAAAATCTTTTTGTGTGTGATATACTTTAAAACATGGAATTGCACATAATGGGGCATTACAGTCTTTGCAATACGTACATGTTTCACGGCGAATTCTTTTTTCATTAGCATCATTTTTGCTGCAACATACCACACATCATCTAGTAGATTCTTTCTAATAGAGAATTTCAGAAATATTTGTCACGCAAGCTTTCATGCCTACATCACCAGTAGAACTAAATCGACTAGGAGCATGAGAACTTGAATCAATTATACACCACTGTCGAACACTCGAAAAATCTTCCTCATCGCTTGAATCGTCTTCTGAGCTTGAAATACTGTGAACAAAGTCTTCATCAGATTCAAAACTTGATAAGCTTTCTGTATCATAATCATCATCATACCTATCTAACTTTCGTTTTCGAGCCATTTTACTGTACAAACACCCTAAAAACCGCGCCAAAATATGTATAAAATGAACATGGTAAAAAAAAAAAAATCCACCTTCATTATGCAAAGAAATTCATGGAACTCGTACTGCCATCTGTAGACAGTAAAACTAACTAAATTTCGCGAGTAGCATTCGTTTGAAACACAATCAGTGCAGAATAATAATGGCAAACGAAGTCAGCTCGTCAGCGCGCATTGGGGAAAAATTTCACTACGCGAGTAGTGCTCATTACTAACCATTTTGGTCAAAATCTTGCTCCCGAGCGGAACTCATTTGCGCGCATTTGCGATTCGATTGCGAGCTGAACTCGTTCATAACCATCAAAGGGTTAATGGACTTCTAAACATACTTTCACTTTGTAGATCCTTTACGTATTAGTAAATATTTATCGGAAATTTTATTTGACATAATCGAAAGTTCAAGCTTACTTTTATAAAATTGCTCTAACAGTCTGCAAAAAATAATAAGCCGTATCCAATTCGAAGATTCAGGAACAACGCAATCTGCAACATTAACTGAATTAGATAATTTTAGCTTAGCTTATACCGTCCGTTATACATTAAACGTGCAAGCGTAAACGTATTACGCGCATCCGCAGAAAGTTTGTAGCTTTGAGGTCCGGATTATAGATCATTTTGGATTATGGGTGTCCGAATTAACGACTTTTGACTGTATTGTATATTGCAGCCCGTTATGATGACTGTCTAAATATAGGCTAATTAGGGAGCTGTTGATGACTTCAGTATTCTAAAGGCTTTGACATGGTTCATTTAAATGCTGATGTAAAATATTTATAATCTTCAGAATATAATTTTTTTTTTTTTTTTAAATATATTTGTGTTTCTTTGTCTGAAGGAAGACCAATCATAGATAGTAAGTGCTTGTGTGCTGTCGGACCAATTGGAAGCAGGACAGTCAGTTAAAGATGTTCTTTTCTTTGGTATTAAACATTCGATAATTTTTTGAATACTGAAACAATACCAAACAAGTCAAATAGTCATATGGAGACCTCTGTGGTCATCAAGGGTTACCACTCCCTTTTGAAAATTTGTATATTGCTATAGTAGACAAGCAGAATTGATGAGTGACTTTTACAACTATTACATCCATGGTTTTACCATGACGGTGAGACTCTGAGCCCAGTGTATTTGTGTTGCACTAACTGCCCATTCCAGAGAGATAAGATTGAAGTAGTATCTTTAACATTTCAGTTGGATTGTCAGACTAGCACAATGTACTGTTTATGGATAAATCCAAATTTTCTCTGGAATAAAATGATCTGCATGTAAGGGTTTGGAGAGAACAAGGGCACAGTACATCATCAAAGATCACACACTGTGGTAGCAGAATTGTGGTGCAGGGTGGAATTTCAGTGAGATGTCACACTCAGCTACACATCCTTTGGAGTTGGTTTTGTGACAGCTGTGCGATATTGGGATGAAGTTCTACGTGCCTTTGAGAGACTTAATGCTATCTATGGCAGTAATCCTTATTTCCTCCTTATGAGTGACAATGCTCATCGAGCTAGTATTGTTAATGAGTACCTGAAGAGTGGGAGCATTTCTTTTATGGAGTGGCTGCTATGCTTCTCTGAACTTAATCCCATTGAAAATCTTTGGGATACCTTCCTGCGTGCTGTCTCTGCTCCAGCGAGCATCAGGCAGTTGGAGACTGCATGGGCAGTTGCTGTAAAGTTTGTGTAAAGATCCTGGGTGATCACCTACTTTAATAATTTTTGATTTTTTGTTTTCTGCTTTAAATAGTTTGTTAACCGTTTGGCAGTTGCATAAGCAATTCTTTCTTCTCAAATATGCTTGATATCTGTCAGGCATAAATTTGTAATGCAAGTGTGTCCATTTGTACCTATTGTCATACGTAACTGGAATACTAGCTGAGCTTGTCAATGACCATTGGAAGGATAATGACTGAAATATAACATCATCATATAATTTGTGAAAATTAAGTGCTGTTTTCATCTTTGTATATAAAGCTTCTTCTTCCTCTCTTTATTTATTTATTTATTTTTTTTTTATGCATAAATGAATTTTGTACTTTCACATACAGTTTTGTTTTAATCAAAGCTTTACTATTCCATTTTGTTGTTTTTATCTTCACATGCTTAACTTTTGGGAGCTAATGTATTAAATATTGTTACCGGATGTTTATAAATTGTGTGATTACTTTGAGTAATTTATCCTAACTTTAAAATTCATACTTTGAATGGTGTGTGATTACTTTAAGTAATTAATACTAACTTTAAATTCATACTGAAGTCTGTTTAGCAAGTTAGATTAACTTCATTATTTAAACCTTGACAATCTTTTTCCTGAAAGCTAAGATAAATAAGGCTGTTAAAATGGTTTTAAATGCTGTAATAAGAACTATGTATTGTAAATAAATGTGTACTACACATGATAAAGAATGTATGTTATACACATTTGATAAAATATTATGAAATTTAATATAGAATGTGCATGGTGAAATATGATGTAAATAAATTATTTAGAATTTCTAAAAGCATGGTCATATGCTTTTAGAAATTCTGTAAATTTCATATGCTTTTAGAAAATTTATGGAACACCCATCTCTACATATAATAAAAGAAAGAGTCTGTGTGTGTGTGTGTGTGTGTGTCTTTCGTTCGCGCTGAGCGTAAGCTAATAGACCCACGGCTACGAAATTTGGTATATAGGTGCATCTAGACAAGAGCCAGTGCACCTCAAAGCGATTTTTTTGAAATTCGAATTCGAATTTTTTTAATTTTATGTTTTGTTACGAAATCGCGTCATTTTGAGACAAAATTCGCTATAGGAAAGCGAGATTTTACTCTACACATTCATTCCATTTTCACATCGTCATGAAACGTAGGCACTTAGATATTTTACAAACTTAAAATAAATTTCGTGTTTCAATAAATCGATTAAATACGAATTTATTTAACAAAGGGTGCTAACACCTTTTC